CTGGCCTAGGGTAATTTTTAGGGGGGTTTTAATTATATTTTAAATTCGACAAATATTTAATATTCTTTTTAATTAATTTTAAATTTGTATTGTTTTGTATGTATTTTAAATAGATTGTCAGCCGCCCTGAGTCCTACGGGAGAAGGGCGGGATATAAATTCAAATATAAATAAAATAAATAAATAAATAAATTTATTTTCAGGCCTGCTACTTCCCCATAGTCCTCCAGCACTTCCATCAGCCTAAGACCAGATTGTACAGGCTCTTCAATAATAAATACAAAGTTGTCAGCAAATGCCTGTACCTTAAAACTTTCTTTTCTTACTTTTAAATCTTTAATTTGTTTGTCTTCTTGAATTGTTCTAATTAAAGCCTTTAATGATAAGATAAAAAGCAGTGGAGATAGCGGACAGCCTTGCCTTGTGCCTTTTTGGATTAAAAAGTTCTTTGTCGTTTTCCCATTTATCACCATTCTAGCTTCTTGTCTGGAATAGATTGTTTGGAACATCTTTATAAATTTCCCCCCCAAATCCATATATTTTAATTGTTCTAGTATGAAGTCCTATTTGACGTTGTCAAATGCTTTTTGCGCATCAATGAATATCAACGCCATCTGTTTTTCATTATGACCTTCATAATATTCTATCGTGTCCAAAATAATCCTAATATTATTCCTTATATGCCGTCCGGGAAGAAAGCCGTTTTGGTCAGTATGAATAAAATTCTCTAAAATTTTCTTTAATCTATCTGCCATAACTGTCATAAAGATTTTATAGTCCGAGTTTAGTAGAGATATTGGCCTATAGTTTTTAATATAAGTCAGATCAGAACTTTCTTTGGGAATCAATGTGATTGTTGCTTCTTTCCACGATTCAGGTATCTTAACTTTATTCAATACATCATTATACACCTCTAATAACAGTGGGCTTAATAATTATATCAACATTCCCTGCAAAACTTCTGAAATTCTGTGAAAATCTGTCCTCTGCATCATATAGCCCAGTGATGGCAAACCTTTTACAGACCGAGTGCCCAAACTGAAACCCAAAACCCACTTATATATTGCCGGGTGGGCGTGGCCCATTGGGTGGGCATGGCTAATTGAATGAGTGTGGCCATCCCTGGAAGATAATATTCTAATAAGAAAATGTAGTAACACAGAAGGCCTGTCTTTGGGTTCCTCCTACATGGTTTGTTTAATCAATGGGACTGGAAGCAAGAGCATACAAGAAAACCGGTCCCTCAAGAGGACTAAGAAAAGCAAACTGCAGCATTTTATCTTCCATCCCAATGCTGTGATGAGAAAAGGAGGAACTACATGCTAAGTTGTAGGGTTTGCAGGAATAGCACTCCTTTATGATAAATTATTATTGCTTTTCAGATTTCATGCTAAAAGTTCATGTATAATGTTTGGAATATGGCTTACATAGCAGAAACATAAACCAGTATTGGGGGGGGAGAGAGAAAGATAAGTGTTTTATTCTGAAGGAACTGGCAGATGTGATCTCAGAATCATTGAATTATATCTTTCAAAGATCCTGGAACACTGGGGAACTACCAGAGGACTGGAAAAGAGCTGATGCAGTTCCCATCTTCAAAAAAGGAAAAAAAATGGATCCAGGAATCTACAGACCTATCAACCTGACCTCAATACCTGGGAAGATTCTGGAAAAGACAATCAAGCAACAAATCAGCAAACATCTAGAGGCAAACAAAGCCATTACCAAAAGTCAACATAGGTTTGTCATAAATAGATCATGCCAGACAAATCTTATTGCATTCTTTGATCAGGTGACAAAATTAGTGAACCAGAGGAATGCTGTGGATATAATTTAGTTGGACTTCAGTAAGGCATTTGATAAAGTAGACCACAACCTTCTACTTGATAAGATAGAAAAACGTGAATCCAGATGGATTCGTACTGGCTGACCAGCCGTACTCAGCGTGTGGTCCTCAATGGAACTGCATCTACATGGAGGGAAGTGTATAGTGGGGTGCCCCAGGGCTCTGTTCTGGGCCCAGTGCTCTTCAATATCTTCATTAATGATTTGGATGAGGGGATAGATGGGGAACTCATCAAATTTGCAGATGACACCAAGCTGGCAGGAATAGCCAACACTCCAGAAGATAGGCTTAAGATATAGAAGGGTCTTGACAGACTTGAACACTGGGCGCTTTCTAACAAAATGAAATGCAATGGTGAAAAAAATAAGGTCGTACACTTAGGCAAGAAAAACCAAATGCACAGGTGCAGGTGGTACCTTGTTCAATAGTAGTAACTGTGAGAGGGATCCCGGGGTCCTAGTGGACAATCACTTAAATATGAACCAGCAGTGTGCTACAGCTGCCAAAAAAACCAACACAGTGCTAGGCTGCATTAACAGAGGGATAGAAATATGTTGACTCTAGAAAGAGTGCAGAGAAGAGCAACAAAGATGACTAGGGGACTGGAGGCTAAAACATATAAGGAATGGTTGCTGGAATTGGGTATGTCTAGTTTAATGAAGAGAAGGACGAGGGGGGACATGATAGCAGTGTTCCAATATCTCAGGGGCTGCCACAAAGAAGAGGGAGTCAAGCTATTCTCCAAAGCGCCTGAAGGCAGGACAAGAAGCAACGGATGGAAACTAATCAAGGAGAGAAGCAACCTAGAACTAAGGAGAAATTTCCTGACAGTCAGAACAATTAATCAGTGGAACAACCTGCCTCCAGAAGTTGTGAATGCTCCAACACTGGAAGTTTTAAAGAAGAAACTGGACAAGCATTGCTTATCCCATCATGTCATGTCAGTATTTTATCTTTATTAAATTCTAAACTACCAAAATTATGTACACTCTTATAGATGAAAATCTGTTTGTCTTTCATTTGTGATGTACCATTTTTGCCATAATTTTCATTTGTATTTTCAAATGCTCTATTATTATAAAAAACACCAATCAAGTTTCTAACAAAGGGGCTGAATTTTTTTAGAATTTTAATATTTATTCTGCCCAATAGCATCAACTATCGATGCTATTGGGCACAATAAAGAAAACAAAATTGCTTTGTCACAGCAGTTAGATGAAATACTCATATGTAACCTCCCCTTGGAAAGGCAGTATGGTAGAAAGGATACTCACCTTTGCCTTCCATGAACACTACAAAGTTAGCATTAAATTTGCTGGTAGTAAGTTTTTCTTCAAGGTCAAATGTTCGCTTGCCTTCAATTTCATCATCTGAGATACCATCATCCTCATAGCGTCGTCTCATAGCACCACGCTGTAGAAGCAATTAGAAACTATAAGTATAGGATGAACCATAGCGAAGAATCTAGTAGCCAAATAGTTCCCAAGATAAGCTATACACATTTTAATTATTAGTTTTAAAAGAGACAAAGATAAAACAATATAGAAAACAAAGGGGAAAAAAACTAATGTTGAACAAATTATTTATGCAGTTGCAATATCAAAACACAAACATAAAATAAACAACTGAACAGAAAACTTCCTAAAATTAATAAGCTAAATTTACATAAACAACTAAATATATTATATATTCATTTAACTATAATTTATCAAATTAAGCATTAAAATAGTATTTTCTTGTAAAATATTATGAAAAATAGTTTAAACATATTGTGTCTGTTCTTGATTACTAAAACCCCCAGTCATATAAAAAATACATAATTTTTTATTCCAGTCCTTAATATTGAGGACAATACTTTTCCAATCTTACAGTACAGTACATTTGTTTAGTGACTATTCAAACTTACAGTGGCACTGAAAAAAGTGACTTATGACCAGTTTTCATACTTAAAACTGTTGATTACATGGTCATGTAATCAACATTCACGTACTTGACAACCTGCATGAATTTATGACAGTTACACAGTCCCAGGGTCCTGTGATTACCATTTGTAACCTTCCCAGCCAGCTTCTGAGAAGCAAAGTCAATGAGGGTAGCCTGATTCGCTTAATGTCAGCATGATTCACTTAACAACTGCAATGATTCTCTTAATACCTGTGGCAAAAAGGAAGTAAAATGGGGCAAAACACACTTAACTGCATTGCTTAGCAACTGAAATTTTGGACTCAACTGTGGTCATGAGTCGAGGACTACTTGTATCTAAATTATTCCTCATTTCCATCCCATGCCCCAAATAATCAATATTCCTCAAAAAAGGTCAGATTCCACAATTTTATTTTAATAATAATATGGATAGAATAAAATAATAACTTTCTTATCACTTTGAATATACACTAATCGGCATACATTAAAATGAAATTTCATTGCATACAGCTCTCAGAGGGTTTACCACCTCCGATATATACTACATAAGATGCATGTCCATCTTATATACAATAACCTTGTTTAGCTCACAGCAAAATTGACATAGAAAATAAAACAACACTACTATAGACTTCACGGTGCCCCAATAAGCAGCACTTCCACCACACATTTGCACCATATATTCTTTGGACTCCATTCATATCCTAACTGAACACCTGGGGGAACAGCCAGCTCTTAAGGGCTTTTCAGAGGGCTTAAAGGGTAGGATCCCTCCAGAAGCTGATACACCACAAAGGCTTATTAAATACCAAAGAGATCAAACTGATCTATAAGATAGACCAAATGAAATTTATCACCATTAATCAACCGCAAAAGGTACAGCTTTACTTGGAACACCTTATAGCCTGTAGCTTTATTATTATTAAACAGCACCTACCGATCTCAGGTCTTTGATAACAAAAATACCAAATCTAATCTAAACATCTGGCTGACTGTTCTTCCAACCATAATACTGAATCAGATCACAACATTTAAGGGGGGGACCTGGAACATGCCCACCTTATCTAGCTTGGTGGGAATGGGCAGATATCCTCAGAGATACCAGTTCTGCAAAGAGCCTGGCCCTGTGGCGTTCACGTTTTTAAAGGAGATAACTAGCAAGTTGAATTGTTCCTAAAAATAAACTGACCATCAGCAGTCCTGCAATAGCAGCAGGGTGCCTAGAATTGCATGTGCTGCTGCATTCTGGACCACTTATAACTTTTGGATGATCTTCAAAGGCAGTCCCATGCAGAGCATACTGCAATAAACTAATCAGGAAGTGACCAGGGCATGAGTGAATGTCAGCAAGGCCTCCAAATTCACAAATCATGAATTTGTGCAAAGGTATTTTTCCTCCAGCAGGAGCCACGAGTCTAGAATGAAACCCAAATACTGTACTAATTCTGTCTGGAAGAGTGTTACACCATCTAAAGTAAAAAATAAATAAATAACACCTCTCCAGATTGGAAGGGAGGGGGCAAAAACTCAAAGCCACTTTGTCTGACAAGTGTTGAGTCAGAACTGGTTCCTCCCTGTCTAGACTATAACAGTCTCCAAGAAATGGGTAAGCATCTGTAGAGAGTAAAGATGACCTTGACAGATAGGTATGAATGGCCATTTAACAATTGTTAGAAGTTATAAATGTACACCAAAAGTGTACTTATAACAGGAGTTCAAAATTGTATCTAATTAGAGGTCTCTGTAGTTATGTGACCAGGATTCAATTATTCCTAAAATGGCAGCCATTTTTAGTCTTGTGCCCACAGTTTTTTCCCTTGGCCACATGACTAATCAAAGCAACCAGTGTGGTTTTTTTTTCTTCCTCACTGCTGCCAAATAGAGGACTAGAGGAGTAAATCTCTTGCTGCTGCCCTTGATGCTTCTTTCATTGCTGTTGCCTTGAGGACTGGAGTAGGTGTACTTGCCTTTGTATGTACTTAACATATTTGTTTCATTATAGTACTGTGCTTGTTTCTAAGTACTTTACAAAGATAAATTATTTTTAATTACTGTGCTTGTTTGTATTTATCTTGGAATTGCTTGCAGAAATACTAGCCGGCCTGTAAGAAAGCAAATTTAGTAAAGTTCCTTTGCATTATACTGTACTATGTTTTTTGCACGTGTTTGAGATTGCTGCAGAAATACTAACCAACATCTATAGAAAGCAAAGATATTGTGAAGTTCTTTATCGCTCTACAGTACTCTGTTTGTTTTTGCTTTGAAGGTTAGTGTGTACTGCTACAGATTGCTTGTAGAACAGCTGATGGGCGGGCAAACCAAAGCAAACAGCAAGGCTGATCTTCTTTCACTTAATGACCTGGTTGATTCACTTAACAAGCGTGGTAAAAAATGTCGCACAAATGAGTCCAATTTATTTTATGACAGTTTTGACTTATGACCTTAATGGGCAAGGTCCATTAGGGGGTCATATCCTGAGGAGTACCTGTATGTAGGATTCATTACTTTTAGGCCAATGTTTCTTAAACTTTTTGCTCTCCGGATCTCTTCCAATTTTTGTAAATTACGAAAATTATGTTTGTATGGATTATATTTACTGATATTTACTGCATTAAAAATTAAAATTAATCTATTCAAGGAATATTTTATTGTAAAAAAATAATAAAATTAAACCCATTGGATATTAACATAAATAAAGTATTTATGAAAAAATGCTATTTTAGTGAATAAAAAAATGAGAAGAGTTACACTGTTTTAAATTTTTGCAAGTGTCCTCAATATCCAGCTAATAATTTTGATTCTGCAGATACCTAAAGTTCCTCAGACCACACTTTAAGAAACAATGACCTAGGCAAAAGGGATTGAAATATTTTCTTAAGTCCAGAGCAATGAGATAACATTGCTTAAACTCTTCCCAGATAATCAAACTAGGACGTGCCTTGGTCAGTTTCATAGGACCTGCCCAGCTGGAGTTCAACTCCGCTCGAATAGGCATCACAGCAACTCTGCAAGGGCTCTCTTTGCCCTTTCTTATCCAAGAGTGCCCTGGTAACCCAAAACAGGGTCCACTGGGTAGCTATCTGCAGATACAATAAGAGCAGCAGAGTGAACTAGTCTAGTCTAGTGAAAAGAAACACTAGGGGTGACATAATAGCAGTATCCCAATATTTGAAGGGTTATCACAAAGAAAAGGGGGTTAACCTACTTTCCAAAGCACCAGAAGGCAAGACAAGAAACAATGGATAGAAACTAATCAAGGAGAGAAACAATCTAGAAGGAGAGAAACTAGAACTAAGGAGAAATTTCCTAACAGTGAGAACAATGAACCAGTGGAAAGGCTTGCTTACAGAAGTTGTAGGTGCTCCGTCACTGAAGGTTTTTAAGAAGAGATTGAACAACCATTTCTCTGAAATGGTACAGGGTTTCCTGCCTGAGGCAGGGTGTTGCACTAGAAGACCTCCAAGGTCCCTTCCAATTTTGTTACTCTGTTATTAACTCACTTTGCTGCTTTTATTATCACATGTTAAGTCCTAATGAAGGCTCTTACCTATATCTGGTTGGCATCACCTTTCATCTTTCTCTAGTGGGCTATAAGTCTCTCTTAGGTCTGTTCATCTCCCAGAACTCCTGTGTAGACCAGGATACTGTGCAGAACACATGACTGCAAAGTCCACAGAGGCAGAATTATTGGAATATGCTCATTTCAAGTCATGATTAAGACCTCGTCTGAACCATGAAGCAGAGCTTCAGGAATAACTCTAGATTTTCTCTGAAACCCTCTTAGGTTCATCAGTAACCAATCAAGACCTTTAGGTGTCCTAGAACTCCAGGATCAAAAAGGCACAACCTGTCTCTGGCATGGGACTGAGGCTAACATCCCTGAACCTCAGATCATGTTACTATGGCTTAGCTTAAGCAGTAAGAGAAGCAGTACAGTACATACCCAAAGACTAATCAACAGTCATTCCATGCATTCTAATTCTGCTTTTACATATGAATAAAGCAAATAACACGGAACAGTTCAGAACACAGCTCAAGAGACTGCCAATTTTGCAGTGAATATTTTCCTATTTCCACAGCATTTTCTATTTTTCCTTATCTGTTTTAGTAATACTTTTAGTAAATGTAATAAAATTTTAGTTAATATTTATAAAAACTAAAATGGGTTAATTACATAAGATGACGATTTATTTCCTATAGGCAGCTTTGCCTATATGACAAGGTAAAAATATGTTCATTCTACCCACTGATGGCCCAGTTCTTCTGCAAAATGTATACACTAAGCAGTTTATAAAAATAAACAGCAAAACTAGTGCAGCAATAAAATATATATTGTATATACCTGATAATGCACATTTTTATGCATTATTAAAGTGTAAAAGAACATGTTATAGCCCTCTTTCCAAACCTCAGCGCTTAATGCACACAAGGTTTTATTGAAACCAACAGACTCAAGGATGCAATAGGCAGAACTGGTGTCCTCTTGTCCC